GGGTAGAAAAAGGTAAAAATAGCAAAATAATTAAGGAAGAAAACAATATTAGAAGAGTAATGAGAGAGAGAGAGAGAGAGAGAGAGAGAGAGAGACTATTATTTTTTTTTGTCCCTACGTTTTCCCTATCTCACATTTACATTAACTTCCAACCCGTCACCATCACACGAGACACACCAGCGGCGGGGAAAAAAGTACCCCAAAAACTATCTGCTAGGGAAAAAATGGTGTAGACATGCCATGGCGGGTGGGGGTGTGGTACAAGCTGCACTACATCACAAACACCCGGGTACGCACACACGGTCATAAGCCCGATAACGGATACAGGATTATTTCGTACATGTATTTAAGATAACTGAGATTTGCATAATAACAATAACCAAACCCAAATTAACCTAACCCTCACCTAATCCAACCCAGTCAAACACAACCCAATTCAATGTAACCTAAGCTAACCCAAACCTACCCAATGCAGTGTGTGTGTGTGTGTGTGTGTGTGTGTGTGTGTGTGTGACCTGGCTATTTTGAGTATCTTTAACACCGACACATTAATAACGGTAAGTAAAAAATTGACTCCAGCCACTAATTGCCTCACCTGCACACAAAAGTTCCCAATGGCCTTGAGTTTTGTTTTCTATTTCCATCATAAAAAACATAAATTTAAAACTTTTGTTAAAAATCCAGAAGTGATTCGAGCCAATAATCCTTTAACGGGCAGACTTGAGGCATCAACAGCCTCGCCTCCAGCCCTGAATATTGTATACAAAAATATTCATCCACCAGTTTTAGATATATGGCCTCTAACTCCCATGATTACTAAATAACTATTGTTCTGTACTACTAAGTGCTATTGTCTATTACTAGTTCTATTAACTACAAATGGTATAATCAATACCTTATACAGTAGTTCTGCCACCTATTGTACTGCTATACTAGAGGACTAATGCCTAAAACAAACAAACAAAGGCTAGTGTACCAGACCACTGCCCTACTGTACACCCTCATCCCTCCCCCCACGCCCCAACCACCACACAAGTTCTCTAAAGTCTTCTTCATCGACAGTCGACCTATACACTACCCAGTATCACAAAGAATTTTTTTTTACCTTAACAATGCTAAAATAGTCACTTTATCTTTAAATTCAGTGAATACAGAATACCAGAGCACATATACACAGTACAGTATTATAAAAGACAGTGCCAGCACAGGCAATAAATAGCACCTTTCATTATCCTGCATGTAGTGATGACAGGTTTATGAGAGCTACGTACATACATTGCTCACCTTAATGTAACAATGAATTTCTTTATGACATGACGATCAGCTTTGTTGATTTTATGATAAGTAAAAAATTCACAGAAAGTGTTAAATTCCTGACCCACAACTTCACAATAAACATAAGGCTAGTTCACACGTCAGAGTGAAGAGAGGGTGTGAGTAATTGAGCGACATTTATAACCCAGGAGCAACACATCCACTATTATAACGGAAAGACGCAATACCTGAGAGTGAGTCAACAATGAGCGCGTATGGGTAAAGTTTGGCGCAGAGCTTATCAGCTGCGACCATCAAATAACTCAGTGGAGGGAACAACGGCTGCCTGAAGGAGATTGGCCTGACGAGGCTACTTTGTGAAGGCCGCCACCGCCCCCACCAAGACTATGACCACACACACACACACCTACAACTGTGACCACAAGTACAACACAGTCACACACCCACAAGAAATAACAACACACCCACACACCCTCACCTCCACACACGTGCACCACACACACACACAGGAGACAGTAGCCCAAGTTATCCCTGCACCATCAGTGTCAAACACCACCCACACACTCGCCACTCACTCCTACCCTTTTCACCTCACTTCCCTAATACCTCAGGGTAAATGTAAAGGACATCTCGGACAATAAGACCTGCACCATTACTACTCTGCCAGCACGAACGATGGCCAGGGCCTGGAATTCCCCTCCACTCTGCAATGACAATCTTACAAGAGGTGCACCAAAACATCCCCTCCTCCTTGCAGTCGTCTTTTATGGTATGAGCATTAGTGTCAGGGGTAACTCAACACCGAGGATATCTGCGTTGTGGGTGAGAACGGATTCAGGCTTACTATACAGGGACTCAGGCAACGTAATGTGTGGATGGTCACCCAGGCAGTGTCCAGTCTCAGCATTAAGAAGGGAAGGCTCAGGAGAAGTTAGGGAGGATGTGAGCTGAGATATTCATCTTAAAAACCACCATAATGAACACAGTCCATCTCAGTCCGCTCTCTTAGTTGCCAATTCCTTCTTCCTGACCGCCTCGTATTTTGTGGGAATCATGGGTGTAGCGAGCCAGTGACTGTGACTCCCATGCATTTTGCTAAAGCAAAAAAATAACATTTCCTTTTCTTTCATCACAATTATCACATATGCTTTGATTTCATCACGTGTAACACCAGCAGACTGGTGCAGCGCTTGTGGACATTTCACGATATAATTTAAGCAAACGAAAAAAAATATGACATCTTATGAGCGACCAATTAAAAACGAACAGTAAATCTCCAAATGCAAGTGGTGCTGCCAGAGACACAGCAGTAAAAAGAGCCATATATTCTGGTGGTGGAAAGTGGGTGAGTGCTGCCACCCTGGATGGTGGAGAAGGGGTGAGTACCGTCATTGGTGGTGGAGTAGGGGTGAGTACCGTAATTGGTGGTGGAGAAGGGGGCGAGTACCGTCATTTGTGGGGGGGGGGTGTGAATACCACCATGCTGGGTGGTGTAGAGGGGTGAGTTCCTCCACTCACGGTGGGGGGAAGAGAAGGCGAGTGTTGCCACTCATGGGAGGGGGAGGGCGAGTCATGGATCATGGGGGGATCAACAAGATTGTCACACTGACCCTGGCACTATCTACACACCACAGACAGCCTCTGCATCTCCTCCACAGTAACACATATGTAGGTCTACACTGACAACCACTACCATTTCACTTGACCAAGTTACAGTATACTTGTAAAGAATGCAAGTGTTCACAACCACACTGTACTGGGCCCACCCACACACTTCCCCTGAGAAATGTTCTTTCTCTTGTTATGAACTTTGTAATAAAAATAGGTAATATTAGTGATGTACAGTATTATCATCGGTTAGTGGTCAAAAACCACATCTTCCTTGATTATATAACACTATGTAACCTGAAGATCATTTATTTCTGGACACTCTATGCAGAGCCTCGGGGAGATGCAGTATGATGCGCTTCTAATTGGTACAGAGTTTAATTTAACTTGATTATTTGGGATTGTGTTTATTTAACCCACCCAGCCTGCTGATGGCACTCTCACATCCATCTGGTTTGACCATTCATTAATCTGGAGGGGAGGGGAGGAGAGCGGACAGAGACCTTATAATTAATGTCCCGTGTGGCAGCTTCACCGGCCACAGTCGAAGGCTCCGCTTCCTCTCACATGATAATTATAATAGATCCCGCGTGTGTTTGTTTACACTAAATCCAACATGCGGTATTATCAATAATTCAATCAGGTCAAATATAACTACAATATATATACTACAGGATGATGGAAGGGGCAAGGAGGTGGTGGGGTCACCTCTTCTCCCAGACATGAACAAAAAAATTTTCTCTAACTGGTGATGTGAAAAATCATCTAATTTCAGCATCATTCCCATCACCATTATCACTTGTTCCCATAACACATCACTATCCCCATAACACCACATCACTATCCCCATAACACCACATCACTATCCTAAAAAATATAGTTATAAAGGATTACACAAAGATTTAATGCAATACCCAAAGATTAAAGACATTACCCCTAGATTTATTGCATTATACTAACCATAATTCACTATCATGTACAATGTTTATTGGTGTGAGGCCTGGTGGATCCCCTCCCATCGCACACACACACCATCCACGGGGACCTATGACACACCAAGGGGTTATTTTCTCAATGTATCTTATAATTTTTTTTCCGGGACAGCTGGCAAATAAAATCATCTGGCTAGCATAGTCCAAATACAACTACAAGACCCTTCCTCCTCCTTTCTCCACCACACTGAAATCCCCTTCAATCTCCTCCTCCTACCACACTGACACTCCCCTCCTCCTCCTCTTTCTAGGCTAGCACTTGAGGTACTGGATGGGTGTGGCAGCTCCCCTCGTGTTCAGGAACCTCACATCCCCCCACCACCAGCTGCTGAATATAGCAAATTGGAAGCTTCCACTGGTGAAAATCTTCATGTAGAAATTGGCTGGGTCATTAGTGTGATCCAGTGGCCCATAAAACTGACAGTAATGCAAACTATTAATGCTTTTAAAATGTTAATTGTGCCATACCTCTCCATTTTCAGCTCATTCATTTGAGAGAGAGAGAGAGAGAAAGAGAGAGAGAGAGAGAGAGAGAGAGAAGAGAGAGAGAGAGAGAGAGAGAGAGAGAGAGAGAGAGAGAAATCATCACTCCACATGTACCATTTGTATGTTATGTTAAGAAAAATAATAGTAATAATAATAATGTTTCATAAATAGTGACTGCAACAGCTATTTGACCTAATGTCAGCACATAAATTACACATAACACAAAAAGAGTACGGTAATTGTTCACCATCAGCAATTGTAACTTCAATGTTACCAAAATACAACTGTTATATTGTACGATTTCCACAATTACGGTAATTTACACGTACTTTAGAAAACATGTAACCTCAAAATAACGCTTTTAAACATTATTATTATAATTCAGTATAAAAATGTCCCCTCCGTTAACTGCCTAAAGTGTGAGTAGTGTTCACAAACTGTGTTCCATAGACAGAGTTGCCACAGTGAATAAATTTCCAACACATTTTTGTACTTGACATTGTAAAATAAAGAAAAATATGTGGCTAACCTTTTATATAATGTTAGGAAATAATATTTTTAAATATTTTTCTGATAATTTAGATTACAGTATTTGTCGAAAGAGAACACGTGTTACGGACGATATAAAAAATACAGTACGAAAAATACACTCGCAAGCCTGGCTGGATGATGCCATCTAGAACTAAAGTTATGCAGCCCATCATCTTATCACGCTCAATCTTACCGCTGTTTTCTACATTTTCAAATTCTATGTCGGACATTTCAACGCTGTATTTTGACTTATAAACATGTTATTGTAACATACTGTACTCCGTATTAAGGAAACAGATTCAGATTAACTAGAGGAAGTCTCATCCTCTTGTTCCACTACTACTGACATAAAGAAGTATCTTACGTTTATCTGTTTCTCACAAGGGGAAACAATAATGTACACTTTTTTTGTAAAGTGTTACCTGTAATTCTAAATACTATCACCTCCAACTGCATTTACAACATATGTTACATAAGCAACATTAAATAAATGCATTTAGCAAATTTTTATTCTATGAATGCTGTAATTCGGATGGGGGAGACTTCGAGATTGTCTAATTAACGAGGTTCTTGTGTAATTCAGCTTTTCAAAAATGTCTCAAACTAGTTTTGGGTCACACCCCCTCAGTCTGGAAAACACTGCAGTACAGTACATACGAGTAAATTTTAACAGATGAAATAAGTACTGCACAGTAATGGTCGTACTGTACTGTCCCACTACACTACATACAAAACTGCACAGAACTACGAGAATGACAACATTGCACAGTGCTTCAAACTTCATGGGTGTGTACTGTACAGAATAATAATAAAGCTGCCCTTTCCTAATACTCTCAGTTTATATTATCTGAGCTAGAATTTGTTTCAATAACTACAATGTTAGTTTATAAAAGTCTTGCAATGTTGAACACAGCAAATTATTTCACCTTTAAAAATCTCGTTAACTATAATCAGACTTGACACAATGTTAATCACTAAATTCTCCTGAAATAAACTGGTAGTGTAAACAAGTGAGGGATGATGCCTCACATACACACTGCCACTTTAATGAACTACAGTAATTAATTTTCTCCTGCCAAATAACTCACTTCTTTGGGTTCCAAATTTTATGATGCAATCAAGATTTCAGTTGAACATAATGCAATGATTTACACTGATTACAAGTCATATACATGAGCAAGGTGTGTGTTATGTGAGGGGAATAAGTTTAGGCTAATGACCACATGTGTAGGTATGACAGAACAAGGCTACCGACATGTGTAGGTATGACAGAACAAGGCTACTGACATGTGTATGTATGACAGAACAAGGCTACTGACATGTGTAGGTATAACAGAACAAGGCTACCGACATGTGTAGGTATGACAGAACAAGGCTACTGACATGTGTATGTATGACAGAACAAGGCTACTGACATGTGTAGGTATGACAGAACAAGGCTACTGACATGTGTATGTATGACAGAACAAGGCTACTGACATGTGTATGTATGACAGAGCAAGGCTACTGACATGTGTAGGTATGACAGAACAAGGCTACTGACATGTGTAGGTATGACAGAACAAGGCTACTGACATGTGTATGTATGACAGAACAAGGCTACTGACATGTGTATGTATGACAGAACAAGGCTACTGACATGTGTAGGTATGACAGAACAAAGCTACTGACATGTGTATGTATGACAGAGCAAGGCTACTGACATGTGTAGGCATGACAGAACGAGCTAAGACTGATGACAAAATACGGAGTATGTATTACTGGTAACCCCTTCACTACGGGGACAACAGTTTTAATATTTTATTTTCTAATGCCAGATGATTCTATTCAGCTCAGAGGGGACCCGGTGCCCAAGTGGTTAACACAAAATAAATTAAGGATAGTGATGTTAAGGTACAGTAAGGAAAAGCTAATGTTTATCTGCTCCAGAGACACACCATCCAAGCTATCCTCAAGACTTTAACCAACACCACTCAAGAGTTAATCTGCGCTGAGTGGATAATGACAGTAATCTAGGAGCGACGCACTTGACAAAACGAGATGGCAATTTAAAAACATCTCATCAACCTCAACGCACAAGAGATTAATCTGGTCTCTCTCTCTCTCTCTCTCTCTCTCTCTCTCTCTGACTCAAGTATGACGATCATCCAGCTCTGAGGTGAATAGACAGGCCGATACCGGACCGGCAGGGTCGTTCACAGATGATGCACACACACACACGGATGCACTGGAGAAAATCTTCCATGCATATCATTGTCAATCAGCTACATATAGTTACATTCATATAAACATGGCTATAAACACAGAGTGACTGTCATATAAACACAGTCCCACACACATATACAGTACAGTTAAAAGTCAGTCAGTCTCTCTGGCTAATCTAGTAACCATTTGATGTACCAGTCACAACCATCAATACAGTGACAACATATTTTTGGTGCCATTCATATCTTGCCAAGACCCCAATAAGTCAACACTTTCAACTCGACTGATACCAGGATACTCGTCATTATATAAAAACACATCTTAGAAATATATGATTTTACACATGATATACAGTACTGTACTTTTCAATAAAATAAGCAGTTTTTAAAATTTCATCCTTGTTTCCATAAAAGGGTACTGCACTTACCTTTCTTATATGCATCAGTATATGCTAAATAATTTACAGTCCTTTTCCTTAACAAAATATCTCTGCATAAATTCTGGCATGGAATTTGTGAGAGTTCAATAGAGTGGCTGTTCAGGAACTGGGGAACTTGTAGAGATACCGGTAATCTTCATTTACGTATTTCTCTTTCCATTCGCCATCATTTTCATTACAATTTTATTGATATGACATACAAACAGGACATCACATATTGGTGGACTACCCCTCAGCCTGTGTTACCAATGAACCTCAAGTTTAGGTTATTGACATTCCATGAAATTTATACAACAGAAGTATGAATGTGACTAGGCTGTCAAGTCCTTCACAAGATATCTTGATGACAAGCACAAACTAAAAGACAAACTGACAGACGGCTGGTCTTGGGTAGTGATAATACCCATCAACCAAAGTTGGGCTGAGGGATAAAGAAGTACTGAATAATTTTTCACTCTACCTGTATTGGGTCGACCGTTGGCATTTGGTCGGGCCGATGCTGCTCCATCACGTGCTTCTACTTCGAGGGCATAAGCTTGTTTTTCTTCACGATCGAACTCTACACGAGTGAAAATTTCACCAGTACGCTCCCTGCACGGATACATTGTAAAACATTAATGCTCATATAATAGACTTCTGTGAGTAATATACTTCAGGGAACATAAATAACACATACAGTATAACTTTCCATGACAGAGAATTTTGGCCAACACATTAAAAGTTCAGTGTGTGGATGATGCTATTCTGTTGGTGGAGTCATAATTTTAATGGTATGAAAATGGGGAAAATTAAATGCATAGCTCTGATCTTTACTTCAACACTAATAATAATAATCATAATAATAAAAGCAGTCCAATAACCTCACCTGATCTCATAGAAATCACGACCTTCATTTCGTGGACTGTCAACAATACGATAAAGAACCTGGAAAAATAAATAAATAACATCAGAAAACACGTAAGATTGTACAAGTCCTGAGTAACTAAAATATATTTTTCATTTCAGTCTTGAATCAATGAATAAAATAGCATAAATGACTGTACAGTAATGAACAGAAATTACAATATGCTCCGCTAACTCTTTTTAAAGATATCACAAATTAAAAATCATTGTCTTAGGTTAACATATAAATACTGTATACAGAAATAAATTGGGCTTCTATGAGATGTTTTGATGAGCACAGTATTTCTCAAGACAATATGGTTAAGTTTAGCACTTACAATTTTTGATAATCTAGAATCGACAGATGAACAATAGTCTATTGTATAGGAAGAGTCAGCAGAGCCCAAAAAACATAAAATAGCTAAATCACCATTAACTAGCTTGTGAGAATCTTATACACTCACTTCATTATTGGGGTAAGTTCCATCCTTGTCGATAGCATTGACCTGCGTGACCTTGGTACCAATTGGCTCGCCTTCAAGTACCGTCTCCTGTTCACGTTCAGTAAACAATGGGATTTCATCATTGACGTCCTCGAGAACAACATATATAGTGGCTTCCGAGGCTAATTGTTGTGGACCATTATTCTGTAAAGGAAGAATAGCAAAAATAGTGTTAGCAAATGTCACATGAAATAGGAAGAAGATTTAATACTTTTCTTTACACCTTCAAGTTAGTGGTTGTATGTTTAATGATTTCTGGTGAGGAGGGGGGGATAGACTGGCTTATGTAAACAAAATCTTTGGATGAATTTACCAGTTAAACAGCCAATTCTGGATGGTTGCCAGACCTGTACACTCTCCCCTTATCTTCTCAACAGTTTTACACAAGACAGAGATCCAAAACTTAAAACTTGGCCACATAAATTTCTCTAGATCTGTGACTTATGGACATCCCAATACCCCCCCTGTATATTCAGAACTACATATAAATAATAACTCGGTCTTACACTCAATATACAAATGGTTAATGAAATACAATCAGAGTATAACAAAACAATCATATACAAATCAAAACACAGACATTTTTAAACATCCTTAAGAAACAAGAGATAACTTACCTCTACTCGGACTGTCAAGTTGTACTCCTTTATACTCTCATAGTCTAATGGATGGTTGACTTTAATATCTGCCCAGGTGTCCCCATTATCTGGCCGTTGTTGTAAGTAGAAGGTATCATGCTTGTTGGTCTGTGCTGTGGATCCCCGGATGATTCGATAGAACACTACCGGATTATCCTTTATACCAGAGCTGTAGTAGTATCGTTGTACCAGGGTGGGGAACGATGGTCACATGTTAGGTTTTGAAATGGAGCGGTGAAAATGTTGGCTAATCATTGAACATAAAGGTTAGCATAAATTCTATATTTATATTTTTCACAAACATAATTCATCAAAACCCAAGTCAATCTTCATGAAAACAAACTGTATATATAAAAAGAAAAAAATTATCTGAAAACTAAATACTCGCAGAGCTAAATTTTAAGAGTCCTACTACAGTACCTATGTCTAATATAAAATATCCTATTGACATCTGTTTTTAAACTAAGATCTGACTTCTTCTCTGATGCCACACTATATGACTATATCTGTAGATTCTATTTGACACTAATGCTGTAAGCAAAGATGGAGCTAACGTTTCAAGTACAGGAATGGAAATGCAGCAAATATTCTGATATACTAAATTCGACTGCTGCATTAACTACTGTGCTCTATTTCCGAGTTAGCAACTATTATGCATCGGAGTTCAAAGTGCACTTCCTGCTCGGTTGATCTACAATGTGCATCTACTAAAGCCTAGAGTGTGTGTCTGTTATTCATAATGTGCCAAAGATCTTCTGCCACAATTGTGCTGTACAAATTGTCACTTCAAAATCCTTATGATCCAAGAAGTACTAAACTGTCCAGGAAAAGCTTCTAAAGCAACTAACGGATGGCTAGGCAATTGTTTACCTCGACAGCAATAATTAAACTTGGAAAATGAGAATTTAAAAGTGACTAAGGTGAGACCTATTACTTGATAAGAGAGTGAGGCCAGATCAGATGGGTGCATCTTCTATTCCACTTGTACGCATTTTGCCGAAACTGGTGCTATTTAAGGCCAAAAACGATCTTGACTAAATAGCTCCTGTGAATGGTATGGGCCGCCCAGCCTCTGTCCAGCCTAAAGAAACACTGCAGACCAAATCCTCAGCAAACTGAAACTGCTATAAACTACACGAATGGTGTCCGATGAAATAAAAAAATAGCAACCAAAGTCAAAAGTAAGATCAGCACAGCAATCATAATGATCCGCTTACAGGCACTGTGTAAAGAACGATAAGAGTAAAGAGCAAAACAAGAGACAGCGTGTGCCATGACAAGAGACATTGAGCTTTGTCCAAAGTCTTGCTAAGGTTCTCTTTCCCTCGTCATTACACAATAAAGCATTCAGTCATTTGAGAGAGGCAACATACTTTGAAAGTCTGCTTGTATCTTAGACCCTCAAGCCCTAAGCCTAATTCTCTAATTACTAACAAATTATACTATTGCACTAACTCCGGGCTACAGCTTCACAGCTTCAAATAAACAAAAAATACAACAAAACAAATATAATTTACTTTTATCTCTAACCAAGGTTAATTCTGTTCCAATAAAATTAAGAGCCAACTTGGGAAGTTTATTAACTGCTAAAAACTTTCTTAAACACTGGATGCAAAAATAACTCATACCATTCACATAGCAAACTAACTAACATGGTAAAAATCATGCTGTCATAACCCGTCTTTGGGCTGAGCAAAATTGTTATGGACATTCAGGGGGCTGAGTTCATTCAAAGTGGATAATTTTTTGGTCGTCAGGCAAAATGGTAAGGTGTGTGCAGGTTTAATCCATTCTCGGTTTAATGACATAAAAAATTATTAAGTACTGGTGCCATCACAAAAAAGTTCTGAATTAATAGTTCGTTGTTAGATTCCTAACTACAAATTTTGTTTTTAAAAATTGGTCAATGCTAAACCTAAAGCTATGCTAGTGCAGTCCTGAAAATAACTTTGTCAAAATGGGTTTGAACATAGCAATTAATAATAAACAAAAAATATCACAAAAATAAAAGAAAATCAGTAGCTCAGGGTTAATTGGAAAGTCTTAGCACAAAGGGAAGAATAAAGAAGAGTAAGAGGAACATGCTAGGGTGGGCTTGCTAAGTATTCATGCAACTAATGCGTGCTATGATATTCATGCATGTTTGCTGAGGCAGGGCTTGGGAGCAACGGGTCAGCGTGCCAAATGCTCCAAATCTTCAAACAGCCCGGATATCTGAAGCAGCACACCACACTCAGTGTTCATGTTGTACCTCATGTGGACACCCTTTTCTATTCACTCATGGCTAGGCCTACATATTATCTTGTGACTGCAATTTAGCACTGACTTTACAACAAAATACTTGAGCATAGCAATAAATTGATAGCAGCTCCTAAAATATGACGAGCAGTACTATGGTAAAGGTGTCAGCATAAGTGAGTGTGAGGTGCCTGCAGGAGCAGACCATCGCGTGCGGGGCAGACAGGCCCAAAGGGTCTGGTCGAGCAGCACAACAGACCTGGCCTTCACTGAGATAACTCCTGCCCCTACTGGCAAGTTTTCCTTGATGTAAATGGGGCCATAGATGGACTGGGTCCATACAGGAGGGTTGTTGGCGCGATCCACTACATCAATCTGAACGTCCACCGTGCGAGACAGTGGAGGGAATCCACGGTCCTGAGCTACGGCGGTCAGCCGGTACGATTCTCGCTGTGCACAGTTGTGGAGAGAGCGAACATTAGGGTTAGTAATGTTAGTGTCTTTGTAGACTCTCTAGGCTACCTTTAGGAGACTTTAATGGCATAAACAAAAATTATTTAGGAAAAGAAAAAATCTGCCACAGGTTTGACTGCGCTGGAAACTATGAAAAAAGAGTAGTACACTATAAGCGGCAGAGAGGGTGCTGAAGGGGGCGTGGGTGTTAGTACAGGTTGGTTACCCCGGCCCGGCCCAGCATACCCCCCTAGCAGCACAGCAACACTAGCTAGTAACTAGTGGGAGCTTGGTAGTGACTACACGGCGGCAGTGGAATTGCTGGCGGGAGAGGCCCGGGAGGAGAGTTAGTGGCCTGCTAGTGGCCCGCCCAGCATCATCCACTACCCACTACCAACCTGGCCTTGATGGAGTAGACGGTCTGACCCACACTAATATTCTCTGGGATCATCTTGCGCTTATAGACCTCCTCATCCCACACAGGGGGGCGGTTGGCTCGGTCCACGATACTGAGACGGACCAGCACCTCCGAGGTGAGGGGAGTCTGACCCTGGTCCGTGGCTGTTACAACCACCTCGTACGCCCCACGCTAATCACACACACAACATTCACCACATCCGCCACATGGGGGAGAACGAGTCACAAGGTCAAAATCAGGATGGGGTAAAAAATGGCTCAAAACCTAGTGGAATAACACAGTTAAAAATATTATCTCGGACATGAAATTACACATAAAAAAAAAATCATAATAAAAATTAAGGTTGGTTCAAAACATGAGTACAGAGGATATTAAGCACAGATGGGAACATGAAGACAATTCCTGACAAACAGCAGGATTTCTCAAGGGATAATCACTCAAATGCCACATCAAAATACATACTGACGCCTTAACAATACCCTTACGTATGTACCTTAATACTCGTACGTTAAGGTAGAGGCTGGTAGGTTCCTACATGGCCTTATACTGTATAGCACTGATTACACCCAAGATTAATGGGTCACACAATCTAAGAAGGTAGAGGCTTGTAGTTCATATTACTAAGGATGTTAGATGTATAACTGTAGGGGAAAGGTTGGCTGTAACTTGTTAATAACACCAGGATTAATAGAACTGTCCAAGCATAGATATTACTATTTTAGGAAGTAACAAATCTTATATTCTGATACTTACTGGCACACATTTACTTACAATAGGCAGACATGACTTGATTTAAAGTGGTAGAAAAAGAAAGTATTAATTACTTGAAGTATTTGCTACTTTATGCTGTTATCACATAAAATAAAATGCATAGCAGTGCCAAATGAGAAGTATTTAGTGTTTTGTGTTCTGTTTAATAAGTAAGCTAAATTTCTTTGTGGCCAACCAATCATTCTCAAGACAACTCTAAAATTTGTTGTTCAAGTTTCTTTAGCCAATAAACTAATACAAGTTTAAATTAGACGACTCCTACAAGATCAAGGCCATTATAAGCAGTGCATTTTAGTTTTAACATAATTGAATCTAAACTCCTTCCTTAAATCAATGATTATTTTCCATGCAAATACAGTGAAACCTCCATATAAAGGACTTCTCTCTCTATATAATCCATTACATGGGGGTTTCCCGTCTAACTGACCCTCGATATAATGATCTTTCCTCTCCACATAGTCCATTAAATAGAGGTTTCACTATACAACACCAACCCATCATACTATACTACTGTAAAATACCACAGCTGCTGCTCCAACTCCTAACATAAGTGACAAGATCTTTCTCTTTCATCCCTCAGCAGAATTTAACATACCGGTATACTGTATATTTATATGTAATCCGTAAGCTTAATAAAACCACCATTTCTTATAATGTATACACAAGGTCTCTTAGTGCCTGGGGAAGATGCTGCCTCTCAACTGAAACTGTCTGGGGAGGAGGGGGGGGGAGGAAATAATTTATATCACACAATTAAAGACAAATGTCAGCAAATAAGTCTTGTATAATTCAACTCCCTTTAAAAGCCAATCTGAAAATGATTTAGAAAATCTATAAAGTAGATTATTCACAAGGAATAAACAATTTTACTTAATATTTAGTATTTTATCAAATTAAATGACAGAAAAAACAAATTGTGTCATTGCATAAATGATATGGCACAATTTGTTCAAGTAATTCATCAATCTCTTTATGTATTCATTTAACAGTGATATAGGTACAGACCCTCCAAACTGGATCTAAAAAAAAAAAAAAATGGGGGAGGAGACATTTTTTCCCTGGCAAAAATCACCTCGAACCTTTGGTTTAATTTGCCCAATGTTAATTTCAAGTGCAATGTGAAAACAGCAATAATATTTTAATTAATAAAAATAAATATACGTAACTAAAAATAATCAATGCTATTAATTCGTTAAGACAATAATTATTTATGAACTCTATAACGTACTTATGGCAAATGTTGTGACTCACAAGAGAAGTTTCTGGAACATCAGCAAACCCATTTAACTCACAGTTAATGAGCTCTGAACTTCTAGATAAAGTTTAAAGTACATATTTTATTATTTAAAGTACTGTACGTATGCAACGATATCCTCTGTTTTGTTATCTAAAAATCAAACAATGTTCACCTGAGTTTGTGTGTCGCAGCAAAACTTGTTGTTGTCTACTGGGAGGCCTGGGGTAACATGGGTGACCTAAGACCCAGGAAACCAGAAAAAAGTCCCAGATTTGAGGGTCTATACCTGTAGTTACTATAATCCTTCAAGTAAAAGGTTTTAAGACACTTTGAACAATATGAAAAAGAAATGCTGACTGTCAATAAAGTAAAGTACAATAATACTAGTTTTAGATTTGGTGAGTTAAAGCTTACATAATGAGATAACTAAACTGAGTTCTCAAACAGTTTGTTTTTTAACCTGTTCCTGAAAGTGTATTCTTATCTCTTTCATCAATCTTAGTTTTATATATCTCTAGGATTTTGAACTGACACATTACAGGGTACTTACAAAGTTTGTATCATACATCGCACATTTTTTTTTTAATTCTTTTGTTGTTTAATAGAGGGCAGCCAGAAGCAAGGGCATAAACCCAGACACACATTTCCCCTTCACTAACGGTCGTTCACTCAGTTTTATTGCCGTAACGTATATTTTCAGTCGTAGTCCAGCACAGTACTGTACTCCTCTTCCACAAAAGGACCCAAATATGGGTTACTCCTGCCACTTAACACAAACCAACAAGAACCACTAACAGAACATCTTTTTTCTAACTACAATCTTCTTACAAACACTTGAGACAGCTATGAACAGTGTCATGTATATTGTACCACAAACATTTAGAATATCCCCCGTATCACTTTTCTACCCACGCTCTTGTACACGTTCTCTTAAGTCAGGAATACTAGAAACAAACTCTTCCCTTCCACAGAAACATCTCCATCATGTTTTTTAATGCAAAAACTTGATCCAAACATCCTCTTCCTTATGTGAACTCATACTGTTCCTTCCCTCATACACACACACACACTTAAGTTGCTCAATAATAAGATTATAATACATACCAAAGACTTTCTCTGATATATACAGTTATTAATTTCTCTATAATTCCAAGATTCTCTCTTTATCACCATAAACTTTGTAAAGAACCATTTTAATTACAAGAGTTGTATAAATCGTTACTTGTCCTAATGTCAAAAAGCCTAAATATTTAACTTTCTAAAAGTATCTAATACCAGAACAACTTCTCTTACCAACTGATATTAGTATTTACTCCAAAATCCCAGCATTTCCTTTGTTGATATATACAGTATAAATAAAACATTATATTTCTTTATATACTTCAATCATTCCAGTATATACTAACAAAAATTATATATATATATATATATATATATATATATATATATATATATATATATATATATATATATATATATATATATATATATATATATATATATATATATATATATATATATATATATATATATATATATATATATATATATATATATATATATATATATATATAAAATCTCCATAACTTGTACTGTACTTACGTCTAGGGGTTTCTTCAAGATTATCCAACCTGATTCAGGTTGGACCTCAAAGTAGTCTAGATCACCGGCATTTGCTGCTGAAGTCAGGTTGTAGACGATGGCACCATTGTTGTCAGCATCTTCATCAGAGGCAGACACACGCAAAATATTTGTTCCTACATTTGTATCCTGCTTCACATTCTCTATGTATTTCTGAGAAAGAGATCAATTAAGCTATGGTAATAATGCTTACAGTCATCAATTAATTTGGGGGGAAATTCTGTAAAGTATTAAATTTACTCACAAGCTGTGGAGACAAAAAAAAAAATCTTTCTTTCACTCTTGCTGCTTCTTTCAACCAACCTACATATAGTTCATTAAAAGTTAAGAGACAGATATTCAGTAACAAAAGTATATAAAAAAGTGATAAGTGTGAAAAAATTACTGAGCAAGTGGAAAATTACTAAAACAAAGATGTGACAGAAAAAGAACTGAACTGATATTATCTAGAATGGTAAATAGAACACATTCCCTTTAAATATAATACACAGTACTAATTAAAGGTAATTAATATGGAATTTAAGTAATAGAGAATTGGTAATAAGTTGGTAGAGTGAGGCAAAATGAAGATGTGTGAGTGTGTGTAGAGTTCAACTATTCTGAATACTGTCTGATAAGTAGAGGGTAGTCCATTTTATTTAAATTCTGTATTCCAACAGACACACACAAATTTAATATTAAGAAGAATACACCATCCTAGATTTGGTAAGATGGGCTCAACATAACTTGTTACCATTTGTGGATTTTCATCCAGTGCCAAGGACAGAGGATATGTCTTAAATGAATAAGTTTTAGGGGAAATGTGCACGCAGGCCTACATACATACACACATACATACGAACATGGAAAAAGGAAACAGCATCATTTCAAACAAAGTTAGTGGGGACAAGTTCATGTTGTCTTTCATAAAAAATACTTCTACTCTGGTTCCAAGGGGAATAATAGTGCTATTGGTATAAAATTACACTAAATGTCTTTTTAACGTCTTGAAGATGTAATTGTGTCCTACTTACCTGACGATCAAATAGTGGAGGATTGTCATTAATATCTGTGATCTCCACAGTGAAGGAACAAACACCTTCTAGTGATGGGTCTCCATTATCCGTGGCCTTTACTGTCACAGAAACAAACTTGCCGTCTTCACCTTCACGATCAAACACTTTATTGGTAGTTACGTCGCCTGTCTCGGGATCTACTGTAAATTTGGTGCCTTTCTGGTTGGGCTGTTGGACAATACTATAACGGACCTGCAAACAGAAACAAATTAATTATTCTGGTTTACAAAACTTGCTACATAAGAATGTACTGATTTTCTATTTAAATAAAAAACACCCCATCCACAACAAAGCCCCAAATCTTGTTTAACCCTCATTCTTCACATGAGAACATCACCTGTCGGCAGCACATCTTTCCCCAAAATCATCACCATGTTCTACACTCTTTCAAACACACTAATGCTTCCTGGATGTTTACCCCCATCAAGTCTAGCATATCCATCACCCACTGAACACCATGCCATCAGATCACCACAGCTAACCCACACAAGCATGGAAAAAGGGCATAATAGATCATGTTAATGATAATGATGATGACTCTTCCTAATAAACTACAAAAGATGCTTTGAATATCTTTTTAGTGCTTCCCATATCATTTTCTAATCTATTCTCTCCTATACATTTTCAAACTGTACAATTTTTTTTCCTTTCTTCAGAAACTTTTCACTATGTTCTTATCCGTCTTTTCTATTATCCTACTACAATGTACACTAAGGATTTTCTTTCTTTGTGAACCATATTGCCCCCACTATCAATCCTCTCAACACACATTTACATTATGTCTCTCTCAATTCCATTCATTCCCGAGACTTCACATCAATCCCCTCCACTTTCCTAACACTATCTCTTACATTGAAATCCTTCAGTTATCTTTCACAATAAAGTATTCAATGCTGTACACTTATTCAGGTCTCCCCAGAAATTTTTAAAATATTAATTAAAGTCACAGGTATATTTCACATTTCTCTTTCCAATCTGAAACAATTATAAATATTCAGTATCTTTCTACAAGGATTTCATTGAAATCCAAAAATAGAACAATAAAACCCGTCAACATGAAATAATCATGAAATAAAAAACTGACTCACAGTATTAAACATTAAATAACTATGCATTGGGTGAACTTACCTGTCCATTAACACCCTTATCCTCATCAGTGGCTCGTACAGTGATGACAGGTGAACCATTAGGAGCAGACTCTTCTACTTTTGCATGATATGAAGCACAGTCCTTGAACACAGGTTTGTTGTCATTAACGTCTGTAATAAAGACTACAACAACAGCAGTAGAGGTATGGAGGGAGTGCTGTCCTCCAGGACAACAATTGCCATCATCAACAGCAGTTACATTCAACTCATATTTGTCACGATCGAGGGAAATGGCTCCATTATGCAAGCGAATGACACCCGTCATCTTCTCAATAACAAACTGGCCAGATTCACGGGCTCCACCAACAAAACCAAACTCTACATTATCACCATCTTTATCTGATGCTACAACTGTTGTCACAAGAGTATTTGGTCCAGCATTTTCATCAACATTTGGGGTATACACCTGCTGAGAAAAGTTGGGTTCTTCATCATTCTTGTTTTTGGTATAAATACGGATTGTTGCTGTACCTTCCTTGACTGGTTCACCTGTACAAAATATGTGAATTAATATACAATACAATACATACTTTATAAATGCAAATTATTACTACAACAGCAAATAAACAAATACTATATCCAATTTGAAATTTATGAAAGCAGAAACATTTATATTCAATGATCTCTACAGATACATAATCCGCATCTTTAATCTTACACCCAAGTTACAAACCTCTGTCTGTAGATGTAACCGTGAACTCATAGTAAGCACTGTTATCATCAGCATCGAGAGTTTTACGATTATATATGATTCCCTTGTTGTCAACACGAAAATGATCATCAGAAACAGAATAAGTAATCTCAGCATTTGTCCCAGAGTCGTCGTCACGAGCTTTCACCTGAATGAGTGGAAAAGAACATATTTGGTCAGTCACATTATGGCGATTTATAATGTTTATTGTAAAACATCAAGCAGGGAACTAAACTATGCGATCACAGCTCTAAGTTAACAGATGGCGGCTTTACAGTTAATAATCAATCCTCCTCCTTATATAAAGCAAAAGTAAAATGAAAGTCCCCATAAGGGTGTCCCTATTATAATTTGTATAATGATTAACAAGACCAGGAAAAATGAATCACAAAAAGTAGTGACACAATGCTTATTACTGAAACCTTACCCGGAGTATAGATGAACCAATCGGGATGTCTTCATCAATGTTGTGGGCTTGATAATCAGGCAAATCAAATTTCGGAGGATTGTCATTGACATCTGTCACTTTAATAGTCAGCTGCAAGATAGAAAATGTATGTTAATTCAATTTTTACATAATCAACACATGATTGAAAAATTTAATATTGCCTAATACCATTTGTTTTAAGTAAACAGCTTTTATGTTACCTGTGTAATATTTTGTACTAACTAACTGGCAATTTAAAAGAAAACAACATATCAGTATACATGCCACAAGGCATTACAGGTTTACGTTGGAGCAACAAAATCTTGATCAGAAACAAGACAAAATACACTACTGCACTGTCCTGTATTCACTCCACCTCCCACAAACTTCATAGAGGTGGTATTAAAATCAAAATTCCTAAGTACTGCAGATTACTAACTTATTTCTGTAAAAATTAACATAAAACAGGTTATTCAGCAAAATAGTAAACTTACATCAACTGAAGTAGAGAAACCACCAGAGTCTTCAGTTGCTGTCACAACCAACTGGTAGATGTGTGGCTGACGAACATCTTCAAAGTCGAGTTCCTTGGCCAACTTAACAATGCCAGATGTTGGTCCAATATTGAAAGTTCCTGCACCTTGGCCTTTAGCTTTTAACGTATAACGGATTTCTCGGTCAGCGAAAGATTTAGCTTTAACAGAGATAATGCTGGAAGAAAAAATATTTAATTAAAAAACTTAAATACTTTCAACATATGACCAGACAAGCCTCAACCAAACCTCTATTTACTACAACGATTCACTAAACTATTACTCAAGAGATGTAAATTGCAATAATGTACAGTATTAGGAATCATACTTTTCATGTTATCAATAATATCAGATGACTTAAGGAAGTAAATTAGACAACGCCTTTTCAAGTATCAACAAGCACTTACTCTGAATCTTTGGCTGCATTTTCTGGGATGGTCTTTTCATATTTTGGGAGGTAAAACTGTGGTGGCCGCTTACCACCAACAATGGACAAGCGTTCTTCGGGTGTCGCCTGGAAATGCTTATCATCAATCCTTCCATTCTGGTCTTCAGCTTTCACATACAGAACATATTCCATGTCCAGCTGAAACATCTCTGACCCACGAGTGCGAACAACACCAGATTTTTCATCCACCTCAAATCGTCCTCCAGCTGTAGGGAAGTAAACTTTAGTGAGTATCTTGCAAAATATTATTATAAATTCACAACACCAGTAACCCAACAATATGGATGTACTGTATGCATTACTAATCAATTTACAATACCTTATTTTATTTTTATATACCTGTACAAGTGGAAAGAATATGTACAGTAATGGAATACAGTACTTTGTATGTCATAACAATATGTCTGTCTGTCATCATTAAAAGAAACACTGCAGTATTCTCTAAGCTCATCCTGTGTCACTTGTTAACCCATAATTGTTTGGTCAGTGAAGCTTTACTCCCACTACAGCCTTCACTGTTTCCTTCATCTTCAATTCTCATCCACTTGGATTCTGTAGTTAAGTTTCATCTTGTCACTCACAGTTCCCTCTTGTAATATCTGAACATCTAAGCTCCTTACACTGTACAGTACTACAGGAATAAGTCAACAAAGCAGGAAGGAACATTTATTTAATTTGGAACAGTTTTTACTGTGTGGACTAATAACATGTGCTGACTTTAAAATTCAAAAATGAATGAAATATTTCCATATGATTTAGTGGAAACCCTCATCTAATGCATGAAAAATGTTATCTGGAACAGAATGACTTATGGCTACAACAAAGGCTTCCTTCCCATATAGTGCTACAAAACAACTGTAAAAAATTTAATTACTGAATTAATACCAAAAAATGAACTCTGAATTAATCTCATGAAAAATGTGCAGGGCCAGCTCTGCTTTTCATCACTGGTGATTAAACACTACTGTATTTGGTGGTTAATTTGTATAAAGGTGTATAACCCGGCAAAGTGATAAAACACGAACATTAAAAATAAAATGGCAACTCATGATTATGGGCAGGTAAACAACTACTGTACTCCATTTTTCTTTAACTTCACTAAGGGGGAGGTGTCGTAAGTAAACGCTCATGGGTTCAACTCTTCCTGGAGAAGAATGACCATTCTAATCCTTATGTCATCCTACAGCTTTGATTTCAACAGTCTTTTAAGTCTTCAAATCTCTCTTCCTCAGATAGACTCTGATCCCCAAGTTACAATCCTTTGATGTTCCTCCTCTACTACTGTATATTCTCTCATTTCCAGTAAGTTTTCTATTTCTGTTGCTGTTAATGGGTATATACATTATCTTTTTCTTTCCCATTCACCAGAGATCTCTCAAGGCTGTCCTTTCTCCCACTCTTACTTCTTTTCATCAATGACTCAAATTCAGTTCACATTTCATGCTTGATTTAATTCTCTCCGTATTTCTACAACATCATTTCATTTGGATCAGGACAGAATTTTCCAGTGAGGAAGATACAAACTGAGAGATAAAACAGCATACCCAGTGTTCCAGAATCTTTTATGTTAATCAAAATGTTATGAACAAAATGTATCACTATATCTAGTTATGCAAGTGAAGAAGTGAGTTGGTTCCATAGGCATGACAACCAACATCAAGAAACCTTTAATTTATCTTGGATACTCCACACAACTTAGTGGGAATCTTGTTTATATGTCTGAGGTCCTCTCTTCTGAGCAAATACTCCAGTATTATACACCTATGACTAGCTCACCCCTGTATGGAGTATTATTCTCATATCTGGGAAGGCTCAACAACCCCACAAACCATCAAGACAGGGTCAAGTTAGAAGCAATTCACATTATTAACTCTCCCTTTCCAACTTCAAAGCTTGCCGCAATTTCCCTTCGCCACAACGTTGGTTCCCTCTCCCAAATTTATTGACATTACATCAGTTTCTGCCCCCAAGAGCTGGCTGCCTCCATCCCCCAGTCATTGTACAATGCTAAACCTGACAAGCTGCTGTGACACAGTAATTGTGAGGCTGTTGACGACATGAGGGTGGGTTGTTATGGAGATGAGTTTTCTCCTTGTGCTAAATTTGAAGAATTCTTGCCTTTCTCACATTTTTCAATCAAACATGACCTGACCATCTTTACAGAACTGTGCAAATATTCCACAAGCTGAAAAAAAATCTTTACTTTTCATTTTCCACTACAAGGCCTGACCTTCACTAATGCTGAGATCCTACTAGGTCTTGACCCCTGGATATAGTGAGTGCTATATAGGAGTCATCAAGTGAACAAGGATTAGGCCACAAACATAATTGAACAGTAATGTATTATCAACAATGTCTACCCAATAAACATAACTATTAACGACATGAACAGATTTTTCTTACATTACCGCCGTATGTTACTTGTACAATATACAGGTGTATAAAGAAGAGTACTGAATTTAAATATACATATATAGTACCTGTACAATAAAAACAGGTCTTAGGTATCTCCTAATTTGCACTTACTTCTGTCCCTGACAAGAAAGTAGTGTATGTCATGGTCCTTATCAGGGTCCCGGGCTTGCAGAGTGAAAACTGGAGTGTTGGGAGCAGCGTTGAGCTTCACTACCGCCTGCATGGGTAGAGGACGATTGATGAAGTAGGGTGGCTCATCATTTATGTCTGTTATCTGCAGAATCACTCGCTGGTTGTCCGTATCTGTAATGAATGGGGAGATCATTAACATCGGTTCTATAGTTTACATTAATAACTTAAAAAACTATTGCGACAAATATACAATCATGCATATAACTAACAATACAAATGAAGTTATAATGCTTGGCAAAAATATAAGATATAAATAGTAATACTGTACTATTAAGAGACAATGAACATTCAGAGAACAAAAATGCAATACAAAATGATTTTGTAACAAATAACATTATGAAATACTACTGTACTGTACAGCTTACATGAAAATACTGTATACTGTAAATAATACTGTAATTGTTATTTAATATGAATTTTTAATTCGTCTGAATATAGTAAATAATAAAGCTGCTGCACTAATCACTACTCCACTGAGCAACATATGATACACAGTGAGGTAATAACTAGTGGAGCAAATTACAAAGTCTAAATGATAGTGAAACATTCCTGTCATTTTTATGCAACATAATGACAGTAACATATAGTACTGGTCATCAGGCTATGTAACAACCACTATATACTGTATATGCCATGCATGACACACACACTCACACACAGTCATCCATGGTACAGTACACTATATACTCACAACTGATGCCTGAGTTTCCGGAGTAGCAGCAAGAGTAGGGCAGCGGGAGGGGAGAGAGACGAGAGAGAAACACAGGTTAATACCAACACCAAAAAGCAACAGACACCAACTTACTCACTGGTCAATATTATAAGTCTTTATGTTGGTGATAATTAACAAGTTGTTATTCATGTACAGACAAAGTTAATACAGTAATCACAATTGGGGTAAACGTACAGTTCCAACAATTTAACTTACATTCTCATTTAGACAGAAAGTTGGGATGTGCACAGAATGAAACACATTACAGGTACAACAAAGTTGGTGATTACAAAGCCAATAAGTTTGTTTATATAAAAAAGTGTGAACATATATAAGTCCCATATATTAAGAGAAGCTGGTGAATAGAGCAGCAAGCAGCGTCAGTCATTATTACATGTTAAGTGCCGTAAAAAATACTGTGTAAAGACATGTGCAACTGTTTATACATTACCTGTACATAATATTCTTAATTACATAAAAAACACATCAAGATTCTTCAAGCAGAGATGCAAACAACTTATGGTAAGAAAATATGTACAGTAAATATATAAAAACATGTAAAGTGTATTTCCTATGTTCCATTATAAAGTATTGTAATATTGCCACTACACTGTAACCACTTTTTACCTTGTTTCCACTGTACTGTACAATGAAATCTCTTTATATAAAATTTCCGAAAAATGAAAGAAATTTACGAAGCTCAAAATTCCAGTCAACTTTCTGATAATTCAAGTAAATTAAATCTCTAAATCTCTCACACATAAAGAATAAATGTTTCTTCCATACACATACACACACACTTGTAATACTGTATATAAACATGTATACTGTGTGTGTGTGTGTTAACCAGGTGGATCAACAGTTCATCTCCCCACCTACATGACCCATTACAGCCACCACCTAAACCATCTCTACAACAGCCTTTTACAGTTCCCAAAATGCTGCAACTGTCAAGGCAGAGTGGCATAACCACACCCTCTGCCACTCTTCATCTAATTTCCTTCATTTAGCTCAAGTTAAGAATGCTTTCACCACACTTAACACACAAGACCTTACTAATGC